TGATACTATCTCAATCATGTAAGTCAATGTTTTTTTCTGTTTTTGTTTTTTTTTAAGCATTTTACCCCAAGCAAGGTGAGAGTTTCACTAGCACGCAAGGGGTTATAAAGAGTGAAAGTAAGAGTAAAAAGGGATGTTAGAAGAAAGGATAAAGAGAAGGACGGGGTTCAGGATCAAGGCATTAGAAGATGTCGATTGACATTACGTTTGAATATTTGAAGATTATACTATCAAGGAAGCTACTAAAAGGAAGGAAGTTCCACTATCGGGAAGTGAGAGAGAAGAATCTGCTGAGGTAAAAGAGGCCGTAACATTTAACTGTTTCGACAGTGAAAGTGTGGGAGCGAAATACACGCTTAAATTCATGCAGTTCGGGCACCAGTGAAAATAGCTTGTCAGAGCAGTTGCTTAGAAAATATTTGTAGAAAAGACAGAGGGAAGTCACATCACGTCTGTGAGAAAGTGACTGGAGTCGAGATGTCAGGTCAAGACCTATCACATTGCATATCCGTTTTTGGATTTTGTTGAGAACCTCGAGATGAACAGCAGGGGCACCAGACCATATATGGCCACAAGTATTCCATGCAAGAATGAATGGTAGATTTGAAGAATGGACTCGGGCGAGAAAAACCTTCTGGTGCGTTCATAAACTTCGTATTAACAAACCAACAGTCAGTAAATTCGTTCAGGTGTACTTACATTATGAAATAAATATACCATATGAATTTCAGCTTTATTTTTTCTTCTTTTACATATTAAGATCTTACAGGACATTATGGCTCTCCACAAATTCATATTTTCCAGAGTCTAATTACTTTTTTTTATCCTTTACCATCATTCTTTTTTCCTGGTCTACCATTTATCCCATAGGTTAGCCGCTGCTTCTCTCGCCTTTAATATGTCCTGCGACTGCTATATACTCCAGTCCCTCTTTCTTCATTACGTGCTCCATAAATAACATCTATAGCTTTCTGAATGTAACTATACGTTTCCTTGTTGTTCTTATTTTTCCTGTACCGCTTCAGTAAGTACCTGACTCCTCTCTCTATTCTCTATCTTTACAAGAGCCAAAAATATAGCACTGTTGCCACATATGGGCAGAAGCTACCCAGCCTTCTCTTTCCAGTCCCGATAGAGTTCAAAAGCGTCCCTGTCCTTGTGAGTGATGAATTATTTTCTACCCTTTTCTCACAAAGGAAACGTTGCGAGTCTCTTGCTGCTCTATCGAACTCCATCTTTTAGTTACACCAGTTATGACCTATACCTGCAAGACCCGCTATGCCATCCATATTGGTTTGAATTAGATGAAGAAGCCCAGGATGAGAAACTAAAAAAAAAAAATTGACTATATAACTATCAACAAAACATTCAGGAGTGCAATGGTTCACTGCAAAAATGGTTGATCGCCCTGTTATATGTAAACGAAGCGTGAAACTACAGAAACTGAAGAAGCTTAACGCAGCACCCAAATTGCATTAGGAAAAAATCCGGAGCGAAAGAAAAATATATGGACAGGTGTGAAAAGAAGATACGAGGGACACGATGTAATTGGAATCTCGAAATTGGACGCACTAAGAGAAGCTTTAGTAAAGTCAGCACAACGATATCATTCCAAAGGAGAATGGACGAAGAAGAATACAAAAACAAATGGATGACTGATGAGATTCTCGACATCATGCAAAGGAGACAGACCACTTTGCCAAGGTATGGAACGGAATACAGAAAACTACATAACGAAATAAGGTCCAAATGAAGGCAGGTTAAAGAAGAGTGGCCAAACGAAAAATGTGCAGAAATAGAGAAAGAGAGAGAGAGTACCATAGACAAATGAGGTATGCATATACAAATAAAAGGACTAACAGGACAGAAAACATGCTTGTCAACAGGCGGCATAAAATCCAAGGATAGAACGCTGATATTAGAAAAGGAAAAAAATTCTTCAGCGCTGTAACGAATATATTGAAGAACTCTTCCACGACGAAATAGAATAACCGGCAATATACAGAACTGCCGACGGACCTGAAATTCTAAAAAGCTGTACTTGCCAAACTGAACAGAAACAAGGCGTTAGGATCAGACAGAATTGTAACATCGATGCTTACAAACTTAGATTATTTTGGCATAGAAAAGATTAGTGAGGAAGGTGCTTGAATACTGAGGAGATTATTTTTCATAGGATCTCAAGTGATAACAACCAGATACTTAGTGCGAACATGCAAGATTATGAATACGAATAACTGCCTTCATCTTCTATGTGCCATGTACCTTCAGGACGTGGGTGATCATGGTTATCCATAATCCCCTGTCCTTTGTTGCTCTTAGTATTTCTTTCTTTTCGCTATCTCTCGTAATCCCAGTTCAGCCAACCATTTGCACAAGTTCTTTAGGAAAATTATTTAAATTATTCGGACTATTATCCTCATCTTTGTCGACATGTTTATCACAACGTTTCGGCCGTTGTACGCTTCGGCCTTCTTCAGGTGGTTGGAATTTCGAACTGAACCCTTTATTTCGCTCACTGGGGTAGAGTGTTCTAGTTCCATGTGCCATGTTTGATGGATGTCAGTTATCAGTTATCTCCTCTGAAAGTTCTCCACTGCCTTAACCAGGTATTGAACTCACACTCTTTGGGTCCTGTCACTGGATCTAACCAACGCCTTTATCCACTGTGCCATGTGTCCTTGAGAAATATAGACAGATTCGTTATGAAGGTTATACGCCTTTTCCCTCTGTCAATCTTTACATCAATATGTAATCTGAGTGTTAAATTTTCCAAACCTTCTTTTCTCATTATGTACACTCGAAACTTCAATTGTCTCTTTCTGAAGTTAAGTACAAGTTTTCTTTTTATTTCCGTTTTCTCATTGTTTACATTTTCAGTCCAATGTATTTTCAGTGTCCTTCTGTAGAAACATTACGGTTGCCGGCAAGTATTTTTTTAATCTGTGATAAGGTGGCCAACATTATTTGCTATATAAATATTAAATAACAGTTAAGTACTCTTTTCTTTCTTTATAACGAGATTTTCCTCATCTCTTAATACTTTGCTGAGCTTTTAGAAGGAAAAAAATTCTTCAGCGCTGTAACGAATATATTGAAGAACTCTTCCACGACGAAATAGAATAACCGGTTAGGAACTCTAACCTGAAATTCTAAAACTGTACTTACCAAACTGAACAGAAACAAGGCGTTAGGATCAGACGGAATTGTAACAGAGATGTTTACAACCTTAGATTATTTTGGCAGATTATTTTTGAAAATGTCGCTATTTCAAGCGTCTTCAGATCTCGCCAGGAATTTTCTGTCGATTGGGTGAGTTATATTTTATTAGGTCCGGTTAGTTTTGTTTTCTTTTACAGCGTATCACCCATTTTCATGTTATTTAATGCCAAATTTTGTCGTTTTGTTAAACAATAGAAAGGTTGACATATGTTTAGTTTGCACGAGATTCAAAAAGATAGACATAGGTGTGGTGTGCACGATGGTAAAAGAGTTGACGTAAAGAAGGTAAACATGTGGCCGCTGTGACAGGCGTACCCTCTGCACGGGGACGCATTTGGCGTATCGACAGACAAGGAAATATTCTCTTCGGCAGATATCTCTATTTTCTTGACTCTATAGTTTATTTGTATGCATCTGTTGTCATTCTTATATCTTTCTGGAAATGAAGAAAGTAAACAGCAGACAACTTTCGACATGAATTTCTGAGAGGATTGGCCATCATTATTCGTCATTCTATAAATTGCTTATAATTATAACTTTTATTTCTCATTTAATATTCATATATATATATATATATATATATATATATATTGTAATCCACAGACAGACTGTTTCGTTGTATCACAGCTCATCAGTGTGGCTAGACAGCCGGGTTGCCTCAAGCTAGGATCGAAACCCGGCTGAATTGGTATCAGACAGAGATTCTACCACTAAGCCGTTGGCGCACGGCAGGCATGGAGGTGAATTTAAGCGTATTTATTTTTAGATAAGCACACAGTAACTGAGAGAACTCGAGTCGCTTTACCGAAGAGTCTTGTATTATTAGCAATAATAGTCACTGTTTATAAACTCACACTTCCAGGTAAGATGGGAACAAATAGAGTACAATTCAAAAGTTCGTAACATTAATTTAAAAGAGGGATCAATACAAAGTAGAGCAATATTATTTATTTTAGGATATTATAACGAAAGCATGTCAAAATAGCTACACAATTGCAGTCGTATTTCGATGCATATCAATGCATCTCATCTGGCGAGTGAACGGTTTATTCAAATCTAAATAAATCTTAATAATCTAAATCTAATAAATTGAATGAAAAACACGAAACTACGTACCCTCGAGTCGAGTAGCGAATAAATAATTATTTTACATATGCAAAAAATTAGCGACGTATTCGTATCAGATATTAATATCATGCAATGGTTTTGATAATAGCGATTACACAGCTGAAACTAAGAGTTTGATATAATTTTATTTGTTAATGTTGGTTTTTAATAATTTTTTTTTTTATTTCAGAAAAAAGAATTTCATTATTCATTATTCTCCATATTTAACACTATTACGAAAATATCCTTATTAGAGTGTATCTTTATTCATAATGTATTCATTAATTTAAATACAATGTCAATCTACTGTCTTATTGATTCCTGTTCTTTTATTGTTCTTGCTCATTAATAATGTTTAATTTTTTTCTTATTCTTTCACCCCCAGTAACCCCCTTGTGTCTTAGTGGCTTCATTGCCTTGCTTGAAGTGAAATGACTTTAAAAAATAATTTATTAAAAATATTTAATATGGTTTAAAATGAAAGATTAAAATTAAATTAAAGTTTTACTCTTAGAGCTTATCTTGGACTGCAAATGTCCAGTGAAAATCAAGCCCATTTCCAAATATGTTGGCCAACTAATGGCTTATAATTACTGAAGGTTCGATTTAATTTTGAGCTAACAATCTGTCTCGACGATGACCTGCCCGTTCGTCTCGACGCCCAAAAATGCCTATGAAAGGTAAGGTGTTTGTTCCAGTTGACTTCGCGACGGCCAAGCAAGATAGTTTGAATACTGCACTTGAGGCAGCTGCCTGGTAACAGGACACCGTAAATTGATCATTGCTATAGAAAAAAAAAGAAGATAAAAGAAAAATTGTTTTACAAGAAAAATACAGGGAACACATCGCGGTACTTTCTGCCTGCGTCTGTCGTCTGTCATTGGCCAAGTACTAGAGAGATCACTATCACAATGTCCGTGACTAGTGATAAATATTTGAAGATGCTTGCTTTGTGTCGATGTAGACATAGGCGACGTTCGCTTTACATATAGGTCTTTCTTTCTCTCACTGGAGATAGATAGATAGATAGATAGATAGATAGATAGATAGATAGATAAAATAGATTGCGATTGATAAAACAGATTGATATATATATATATATATATATATATATAGAGAGAGAGAGAGAGAGAGATAGATAGATAGATAGAGAGAGAGATAGATAGATAGATATGTAAAAACAGATTGCGATAGCTAAAACAGATTGAGATAGATAGATAGATAGATAGATAGATAAAACAGATTGCGGTAGCTAACAGATTGAGATGGATAGATACATACATATATATATATATATATATATATATATATATAGATAGATAGATAGATAGATAGATAGATAGATAGATAGATAAAACAGATTTAGATAGATAGATAGATAGATAAAACAGATTGAGATAGATATATATGTGACCGACTAAGATATTACTGATATCACACAACGTTTCCGACGTTGTACCCTCCGGCTTTCATCTGGTGATTGTCGATCTGGTTAATCTTCCGGAAATTTCGAACTGAGCCCTTTATTTAAGGTTTTATTTAATATGTCCAGAGATATCTGGTTTAGTAATGCTCAGTTATTTCTCACCTGTTTCCACTGAGTCCAAAAATTCACTGCCCTGCCTAGGGATTGAACTCGCTAAATTCACGAAACAACGATTTAACCAACTTGGCTATGCGAGAGTCAAGCAGCTCAGTTCCTATGAACCGACTGCCAGACACCAGCATTTATGATTTGATTATAGTTGTGAAGGCTTTGTGCAGAACCAACCAGGAGGATGAAAGGCCTGATATAGAGATCTGGTGTACTAATTGCCACAAGGTAACCAAACCACCCTCCGTAGGTTTTGAATTTAGAGTTGTCCTTCTTCTACACGAGTTGCCACCCACTGCTATATAACCCAGTCTGTCCTGCTATTTACCCAGAGCTGGAGGATTAATACCATTCCCAAGATTATTAGCACGTAAGTGAATGTAATGGATTCACTTCTTCAATCCGAGCGGCTACCCACTACTCCACCGTGTCTCGATATATATATGTTTATATAGTGGATTCTCCCCCGTCGTGTTCGATGTATCAGGGTCAAGCAGCTCAGTTCCGAGGAACCAACAGCCAGACAGCAGTACATATATATATATATATATATATATATATATATATATATATATATAGAGAGAGAGAGAGAGGGGGGATATAGATATATATATTCATGCATGTTTCATTAAATAATATAGACAAGTGTTGTCTATTTATTTTTATGTAAATTCTTTCATAACGTCTAATAAGCTTAATAACATTATCATTAAACGAAGAAAGAAAATCACAATATTGATCCATATAAAAAAATATGGATCAATATTGTGATTTTCTTTCTTCGTTTAATGATAATAATCCAATTTAAGTTTTCTACACTAAATCGAGTATATTCAACTTAATTCTTCGTAATGATTCTTCTCCCCCGGTTAGCGATTTGCAAAAAACCAACATAGTTTAGAAATTCAAGTGCCCTTTGGGAGATTGTATCTCCAACGAGTTAAATAATATTTATGTTGGTCACATCCCAAACTCGCTTTCACGATGGTTGACACTACATTTGAATGTAAACTCTAACATTTTTAGGCATTTAAAACAACATGCATGGCCGCACACACAATTCCGAAAAATCCTTGTCGAAAACACAATTATACTTAAACATGAAAACAATAAACAAAAACAAAAAATTCTTGAAGCTATATACATCAAACAGTTGAAACCTAACCTAAATGAAATCAACTACGAAATCTTCACAAATATCCTTAAATGTCTATAATTGGTAACAGAAGCCATTGGTTTATACCAACGACTTCCCATACTTAATACTTCTCGAATTCACTCTCGCATGGTCATGTGTGACGCCATGAGCTGCGATGCGATTTTTGCTTCCAGCGTCTTATATGCACGTGTTTATCGTTGCTTGGAAATCATCCATGTAAACAATAACAGACTATCATCACTGTCTTGTCCGTATGTTGCTTAATATATTGTACAGTAATTGACATCTTTGATAATGGCTTATGTAAGCCGAAAGCTTAGATTGGATTAAAAAAAATATGGATCAATATTGTGATTTTCTTTCTTCGTGAAGCCACTAGGATGCAGGGGGTTGCAGAAGATTTGCAATGAGAGCAGAT